CCCTTTGGAACGATCTCCCCGTGAAGATTCCCTAACCCTAACCCTAACCCTCACCACCCTCCAGACCTTCCGCACAGCCCTTAAAATCTGGCTATCCCGTCAGGCCTGGGGCTAAAGATTGTAACCCACCCGAATTGGTATGAATGTTGTGCTTTTTAATTATGTATTGTTCTCACGTGTTAAATGTTTGTTCCCCCCCCCTTGAGTTGTAAGCCGCCCTGAGTCCCCCCAGGGAAAAGGGCGGCATATAAATAAACTTTCATAACTCATAACTCATATATAACCATGTTGCTTGTATCTTTCAATTCATATTGTTTTTATTTGTTTCCTAGTACGATTTGATAGCTTATTAGTAACCTTGACTATCACTAAGTGTTGTACCTTTTTATTCTGGAAGAATGTATTTTTATACTCCTTGTGTACACTGAGAGCATCTGCACCAAAGACAAATTCCTTGTGTGTCCAATCACATTTGGCCAATAAAGATTTCTACTCTATGAGTTTCCACCCATTAGTTTCCACATAATGGAGAAGTATTCCTACCAGTCTGGAGACAGCAGTCAGAATGGGAAGTTGGAGAATTAGAATCTGTGGAGGATGGTCCCACCAAAATTATGGCGGTGACTCCTGGTCCATTGGCTCAGGCTTACCCTTCCTCAACCTCCTCCATAGAAGTGAACTCATCAACCCTTTCCCCTCCTCCATAGGACTCTTCTGAAAGTCTACACCCGTGATGGTGAACCTATGGCATGCGTGCCACAGGTGGCTCGCGGAACCATTTCTGAGGGCATGCGTGGTGTTGCCCTGTCAGCTCCAGGGTGCATGCGCATGCTGGACAGCTGATTTTTGGCCTTGTTTTTTGGCCTTGTTTTTTGGCCATTTTCCCCCTTCTGGAGGTTTTCCCGAAGCCTCCGGAGGGTGAAAAACCGCCCAACACACAAACCGGAAGTTCGGGAATGGACTTCCTGTTTGGGTGTTGGACTGTTTTTCACCCTCTGGACGCTTCAGGGAAGCCTCCAGAGGGAGAAAAACGGCCCAATGGGCAAGCCAGAAATCCATTCCCAGTTTGTGTGTTGCAGTGGTGGGTTTCAAAAAATTTGGAAACTCTTCTGTAGGTGTGGCCTGCTTTCTGGGTCCACTGGTGGAACCTCTTCTAACCGGTTCGGTAGATTTGATGAACTAACTAAGGTGGCAGGCTGAACCAAAGTAGGCCTCAAGCCTGAACCAAACTAGTGTTTCATGATATTAAGCTTTAACTGTTCATATA